TTTAAGGTCCTTTCCAACCCAAACCAGTCTATGATTCTATAATTCTAACCACCTTTTTGTTTTTCCAGACCCCGCTTTTGGACACTGAATCCACCCTGGACTATGGACACAGCCTCACGCAGGTGGGAAATCCCACAAGGACATGAATTTGGGGAAGGGGGAGATGGCAAAACATGTCTGGAAGGCTGGGAGGGTTGGGGGACTGGAGCACCCCTGTGTCCTGGGGGTCCTTGGATGATCTCTGGGATGCTTGGCCATTTGTGGGGGTGGGTGATGGAGGTGCTGGGGTGGGCGTGAGGTGCAGGGTGCTGGGGACACGGTTGACCATGCGAGGTGTCACTGCAGTCAGGGTCCATGCCTCGCTGCCCATGCCCTCCCCGCTTCCTCTGCAAGCTATATCATGCCCTTCCACCCCCAGGCCTCCTCGGAGAAGATCTGGCGAGCCGGCAAGCTCCTCTTCATCCACCTCACCAGCACCCGCCCCGGCCTCATCCGGGACCACAAGCATCACCTGCGGCATCACAGGTGGGACGGTGGCACCGTGCCGTGGTGGGGACACCCGGGGCTGCCCAGAACCCCCACAGCCTTCTGAGGAGGGCAGAACTTCTCTTGCCCCTCTCTTCTGGTTTGAGGAACCCACAATGACTTATTGTCATTCAGACAATTACTCTCTCACACGATGACCCCTCCCCACCCAGGAAGGGGAATTGGGGAAAACCAAGGAAACATAAGGGTTGAAATGTAAACAGGATAAGACTAAATAATTAACATTAATAACACTAAAGAGACAATATGGATCCTGATACCATCACAAGGACTATACCCATCCCATCAGCAGAAGCTGTTCCCCCCCACAATATTGATCCTGATACCATCACAAGGACCATCCCCAGCCCATCCCATCAGCAGAAGCTGGTCCCCCCCAGCAGGGACAGCCCATGTGGGACCCTGGGAGAGCTGGGGTTTTGGGAGGAAGGGAAGGGCTCGAGGGACCCTGCGAGCGCTGGGGCTTCGGGAGGAAAGGAAGGGCTCGGGGCTCCAGCACCGGGGCAAGGAGTTCTCAGGGTGGCAGCCACCAAGGGAGAGAGAGAGAGAGAGAGAGAGAGATCTCCTCAGCAAAGTTTCTAATTTCTATGGAAAGTGCTGCTCATGGTATGGAATAACCCTGTTGGCAGCTTGGGGTCTCGCTCCTCCTCATCCCCGCACCTCGAAAACACCGAGACCTTGAATCCCGCACCCCAGAGCTGGTGAGAAAGTAAATATTGTCACCAATTCAGCCACCAGAGTCTTCTAAAAGTGCAGCTTTCCCAGTCATTGAAAGAGAAATGAGTCCTGTGTCGCTCAGAGCAGACACCATCCCAGGCTGGGGCTCCCTGGGGGTCTGGGCACCGCAGCTTGGTTTTGGGGATAATTCTTGCAATTTTTTTTCCCCTTGCAGGCAGTGCTGCTCGGGGAAGGAGCTGGTGGACTGGCTGCTGAGCGCGGGGCTGGCCGTGCAGACGCGCAGCCAGGCCATCGGCGTCTGCCAGGTGCTGGTGGACGGAGGAGTCCTGACCCACGGTGAGGGCTGCCGGGGTCTCTGGTGGGTGGCACCCCGTGGGTCTCCCATGGAGACACAGCCCAACTCACGGTGCTCTCCCCTCTCCAACCCCGCAGTGAAGCAGGAGTGGCATTTCCAGGACAAGGACACCCAGTTTTATCGCTTTGCTGAGCTGGAGCTGAGCCCTGAGCCTGGCGCTGGGCTGCGGGATGCGGAGGAGCTGCTGGAGGCTCTGGCCTTCCTGGCCCAGCTGGGTCCCGACGCGCTGCTCACCATGGCCCTGCGCAAGCCGTGAGTGGCCCAGGGACTCCCTGGGGCCTGGGATGGGGTCATTTTCACCTTGGAGTCCCAAAGAGTTGGGGATGGTGGTGGATGGAGTCACCCAGACACCATCCCAGGCTGGGGCTCCCTGGGGGTCTGGGCACCGCAGCTTGGTTTTGGGGATAATTCTTGCAATTTTTTTTCCCCTTGCAGGCAGTGCTGCTCGGGGAAGGAGCTGGTGGACTGGCTGCTGAGCGCGGGGCTGGCCGTGCAGACGCGCAGCCAGGCCATCGGCGTCTGCCAGGTGCTGGTGGACGGAGGAGTCCTGACCCACGGTGAGGGCTGCCGGGGTCTCTGGTGGGTGGCACCCCGTGGGTCTCCCATGGAGACACAGCCCAACTCACGGTGCTCTCCCCTCCCCAACCCCGCAGTGAAGCAGGAGTGGCATTTCCAGGACAAGGACACCCAGTTTTATCGCTTTGCTGAGCTGGAGCTGAGCCCTGAGCCCGGCGCTGGGCTGCGGGATGCGGAGGAGCTGCTGGAGGCTCTGGCCTTCCTGGCCCAGCTGGGTCCCGACGCGCTGCTCACCATGGCCCTGCGCAAGCCGTGAGTGGCCCAGGGGCTCCCCGGGGCCTGGGATGGGGTCATTTTCACCATGGAGTCCCAAAGGGTTGGGGATGGTGGTGGATGGGGTGGATGGAGTGACCCAAGCATCCCTCCATGGTTGTCCAACCACGGGGAGAAAGAGGGTGATGGACAAGGTTGTGCCTGGGGAGGGCTCATTTTCACCTTGGAGTCCCAAAGGGTTGGGGATGGTGGTGGATGGGGTGGATGGAGTGACCCGAGCATCCCTCCATGGCTGTCCCACCACGGGGAGAAAGAAGGTGATGGACAAGATTGTGCCTGGGGAGGGCTCATTTTCACCTTGGAGTCCCAAAGGGTTGGGGATGGTGGTGGATGGGGTGGATGGAGTGATCCAAGCATCCCTCCATGGTTGTCCAACCACGGGGAGAAAGAGGGTGCTGGACCAGGGGGTTGTTCCTGGGGAGGGTTGTCTGTGTCCCAGGATGTGGTGGGGAGAGGGGGCACAGATGGCTGCTGACACCCCCCACCCCTCCCTGTCCCCTCCCAGGCCTGCCCAGAGGACAGAGGATGAGCTGGAGCTCATATTTGAGGAGCTTCTCCACATCAAAGCCGTGGCTCATCTCTCCAACTCGGTGAGTGCCACTGGGCCCAGCTTCCACCGCGGTGCCTGTGTGTGTCCCCAAACCACTCCTGGTCCCCAAATCCTCCTGCACCCCATCACCTCCCACCTGGGCATCCTCTCCTGGTCCTCTCTGAGCATCTCTGGGCTCCCTTCCCATCCTGTCCCTTGTCCCCATGCGTGTCCCCTCCTCGCTCGGCTCCAGGCTGGGGTGACCCTGATGGCAGATTCCTTTCCCACTCTGTCCCCATCCATGTCCCCTCCTTGCTTGTCTCTGGGCTGGGGTGACCCTGATGGCAGGTTCCTCTTGCCGCAGGTGAAGCGGGAGCTGGCATCCGTGCTGATGTTCGAGTCCCACCAGAGAGCAGGCACCGTGTGTGAGTATCATGTGCCCCAGGACCCTCAGGAAAGGGTCCCCAGCCCGGGGAGGATGGATGGAGCCGTTGCCATCAGTGTGGATGCTCCTGCTGTCTCCTGGTGGACCAGGGATAGAGGGGACTGGAGAACTTGCCATGTTGACCTGGGCTGGGGGCTCAGGTTGAGGGGGCTGAGGAGGGATGCTTGCGGGCTCCCCCTCTTTGACTGCCCCCGTTTCCCCTGCAGTGTTCAGCCAAGGAGATAAAGGCACGTCCTGGTACATCATCTGGAAGGGCTCAGTGAATGTGGTGACCCATGGCAAGGTAGGGGTCTCCCTGTGCAGCCAGGCTCTCCAGACACCTCATGTCACTGTCCCTCAGTGGGGATGAGAGCTCCCACCCCATCCCTCACCCTCTGTGGGCATCCCCTTCCAGGGCTTGGTGGCCACCCTGCACGAGGGGGACGATTTTGGGCAGCTGGCGCTGGTGAACGACGCACCCCGGGCGGCCACCATCATCCTGCGAGAGGACAACTGCCACTTCCTCCGAGTGGACAAGCAGGACTTCAACCACATCCTCAAGGTGGGCAGGGGGCTCAGGGGGCACCGAGTCGCAGTCGGGACACACCGTCACCCTCTGTGGTGTCTGCAGGGGAGGACACTTCTCTGTGTGCCCATAGAGGGTTTTGGGGTGCCACCAGCCAGCCAGGGGTTGCTTGATGGATCCATACTGGGCTGATGGCTGGTTCTTCTCTTTAGGATGTGGAGGCCAACACCATGCGCCTGAAGGAGCACGGGAAGGTGGTGCTGGTCCTGCAGAAGAACCTGCAGGGTGGCAGCAACCAGCCAGCCACGGCGCGGAGCAGCAGGTGACGTGATAATTCAACCAGGGCAAGTGCAGGGTCCTGTACCTGGGGGGGGGAATCACCCCTTGCACCAGGACAGGCTGGGGGTGACCTGCTGGAGAGGAGCTCTGTGGAAAAAGACCCAGGAGTCCTGGTGGTGGTGTTCACCTCCTCTTGTGGAGGACCATGAGCCAGTAATGTGCCCTTGTGGCCAAGAAGGCCAATGGTCTCCTGGGAGGCTTCAAGAAGAGCATGGCCAGTGGATGGAGGGAAGTCATCCCCCTCCTCTGCTCTGCACTGGGGAGGCCACAGCTGGAGACTGGGACCAGTTCTGAGCTCCCCAGTTCAAGAAGGACTGGGAACTGCTGGAGAGAGTCCAGCGGAGGCTGCGAGGATGATGAGGGGCTGGAGCATCTCTCTGCTGGGGAAAGGCTGAGGGACCTGGGGCTGTTCAGCTGGAGCCCTGCGAAAGCCGTGAGTGGCCCAGGGGCTCCCCGGGGCCTGGGATGGGGTCATTTTCACCATGGAGTCCCAAAGGGTTGGGGATGGTGGTGGATGGGGTGGATGGAGTGATCCAAGCATCCCTCCATGGTTGTCCAACCACGGGGAGAAAGAGGGTGCTGGACCAGGGGGTTGTTCCTGGGGAGGGTTGTCTGTGTCCCAGGATGTGGTGGGGAGAGGGGGCACAGATGGCTGCTGACACCCCCCACCCCTCCCTGTCCCCTCCCAGGCCTGCCCAGAGGACAGAGGATGAGCTGGAGCTCATATTTGAGGAGCTTCTCCACATCAAAGCCGTGGCTCATCTCTCCAACTCGGTGAGCGCCGCTGAGCCTGGCTTCCACCGCGGTGTCTGTGTGTGTCCCCACTCTTGGTCCCCAAATCCTCCTGCATCCCATCGCCTCCCACCTGGGCATCCTCTCCTGGTCCTCTCTGAGCATCTCTGGGCTCCCTTCCCATCCTGTCCCTTGTCCCCATGGATGTCCCCTCCTCGCTCGGCTCCAGGCTGGGGTGACCCTGATGGCAGGTTCCTCTTGCCGCAGGTGAAGCGGGAGCTGGCATCCGTGCTGATGTTCGAGTCCCACCAGAGAGCAGGCACCGTGTGTGAGTATCATGTGCCCCAGGACCCTCAGGAAAGGGTCCCCAGCCCGGGGAGGATGGATGGAGCCGTTGCCATCAGTGTGGATGCTCCTGCTGTCTCCTGGTGGACCAGGGATAGAGGGGACTGGAGAACTTGCATGTTCTGGGCTGGGGGCTGAGGTTGAGGGGGCTGAGGAGGGATGCTTGCGGGCTCCCCCTCTTTGACTGCCCCCGTTTCCCCTGCAGTGTTCAGCCAAGGAGACAAAGGCACGTCTTGGTACATCATCTGGAAGGGCTCGGTGAATGTGGTGACCCATGGCAAGGTAGGGGTCTCCCTGTGCAGATGGGCTCTCCAGACACCTCATGTCACTGTCCCTCAGTGGGGATGAGAGCTCCCACCCCATCCCTCACCCTCTGTGGGCATCCCCTTCCAGGGCTTGGTGGCCACACTGCACGAGGGGGACGATTTTGGGCAGCTGGCGCTGGTGAACGACGCACCCCGGGCGGCCACCATCATCCTGCGAGAGGACAACTGCCACTTCCTCCGAGTGGACAAGCAGGACTTCAACCACATCCTCAAGGTGGGCAGGGGGCTCAGGGGGCACCGAGTCGCAGTCGGGACACACCGTCACCCTCTGTGGTGTCTGCAGGGGAGGACACTTCTCTGTGTGCCCATAGAGGGTTTTGGGGTGCCACCAGCCAGCCAGGGGTTGCTTGATGGATCCATACTGGGCTGATGGCTGGTTCTTCTCTTTAGGATGTGGAGGCCAACACCATGCGCCTGAAGGAGCACGGGAAGGTGGTGCTGGTCCTGCAGAAGAACCTGCAGGGTGGCAGCAACCAGCCAGCCACGGCGCGGAGCAGCAGGTGACGTGATAATTCAACCAGGGCAAGTGCAGGGTCCTGTACCTGGGG